GTCCGGTGGCGGCAGCCTCCCCTGACACCTCCCTCCGAGCTTTCTGATGCAGCAAGCCAGCTGGAGAGGGGGCTTCCCCGCGGCCCAAAAGGTGGGTGCCAGACAGGGGAAAGACCTCAAGGAGGGGTTGGGGTCAGGGTGCAGTCCGGCCTGGCTGGACCCAGGGGGGAGTGACCTGTGGGATCTTCGAAGCCAGGACGCCTTGGCCTGCCCGCCCCCACCCCCACTGCCCTGTTCACACCACCCTTTTGAATCCGGGGAAAAGGATGTGCTGTAAAAGAGGAGGTAGGGGGGCCAGAACATACTAGAAGATTTAGGCTGCGCCCTGCTATTGTTTCCTGCAAAAGAGAAAATTGAGGACAGACTTGACTTGAGGACTTGGAGAATTCCTAGAAGATGTTGGAGCCTGTGGTCTGTGTGGCCAGGACTTCCTGGGAGACCCAGGATCCAGGAAAAGAGAGAGTTAGGGCTTTGAGGTGGGGTGCAGAGGAGAAGAGGAAATGGTTCATTTGGCAGAGTTGTCTAGGAGCCAAGACTAAAGTGAAGACAGCTGGAGGACTTACCACAAAAGTAGAGGTATTTAGGGAAAAGTTAGTGGGAAGAGAAGAACACCCAAGCATCACTAACAACCAAGAATGTCAGAACTAGAAGGGATCTCAGAGGAGAAAGCTCAAGCCCAGAGAGGTTGAGTTACTTGCCCCAAGTGGCACAGCTAGGTACAAGTATACCTAGGCCAGTGTGCTGTGTTTCACATTGGACATTTTTAGTTGGCAGACACTGTGCCATCTTAACTTATCTCTTTCCTGTAACATGCAGCCTCATCCACAGATATTTACCTCTAAGATGCTTTCGGTGATGGTGACAGAATAGAGGAGTACAAGTGGCTTCTAAGGCTATGAATAAGGGCCCCATGGTCTGAGTACAAAGGGAAGGATGCCAACTTTATTTATACTGTGTTGGCCAAACCTTTAGGGAGGAAACAAATGCTGAAGGGGTAGTTGGTCATGTCTTTAAAAAATTATAACCTGGTAACCTGGTTGTGAATGTTGACCTGATGCAGTTTCAGTGTTTCTAGTGGGTTCTTGGTGTGTCTGATTTTTGTCTTTTCTTATCAAAGTACAAAGAGAATAGAGGAGGCAATATCTTGGCCTCAACACACACACAAAAATTTACTTCCTATAAAAGGCATATCAGACATTTAGCAGCTCAGTTGCCTGAACTGTGAAAGTCATGCTGTTAATTTTGTACAAGTTGATAGTTTTTACAGAAACACAACATCTAACTCTGGCCAGCTGTCTTGAAGAAGCTGTGTTGTAGACTGGTGGAACAGGGAAAGCATTATGCAAAACTACCCAAGTTCTCCGTAATTTTCAGAGTGTTAGGGTTTGCTCTCTTTTGACCGGAAACACTGCAATCTACCCTTGGGTATATGTCCCAGTCTCTCATGGAGCAAAACTCATCACCTCAGAATCTATTTGGAAGCAAAGATTTTGAGAATCCGTACTGGTCTGAGTAACAGCTACTCATACTCTCAAGAGCCTGTTCTGCAGCGAACTGGTATCCAGGTGCTAGTTCATACTCTGTTGGTTCAATTGTGTGCCCATGTCTAAGTCTGTTTTTACCCTGACCAATGATGGTGACTCATATTCCCTGGCTTGGGCGAAGGAAAGGGCAGAATAGCAGAGTCTGTCAGGAGAGGGGGCCTGAGGTACAACCCGATGCATCGTGTGTTGGAACTGATCATTTTCATGCCATTTGAGAATAAAACACGTGTCCAAGTGCCTTCCTTTCAGAGATTTAGGAAACTATTACCTTGTATGTCTCGGTTGCTAGGAGTATTTCTGGGTGATGGTTGTGGTCCGTTCGAGAACTTCTAAGCAGAAAGTCAGGAAGCCTTACACCAAAGCAGCACTTTATTGCACCAATTCTTGGAGAATAATCTGGTTAATAAAAGCTGGAATCTCCCTGTAAGGATAGGCAAGGGAGCCAACAGTCAGATTGCACCCTCTATTGAGGCCACCAGGAGTTAATGTCCTCCCCTCCAGTGTTGGTGACACTGAAGAAGTGAAGGGATTCTGGGCAGGGGTGTTTGTGTAATGAGCCTGGGGCAGGAGCCCTGGGAGGAACCCTTGGACCGCCAGGTTATCCTTTCTTTTGCTTTTCATGGAGAAATGCTGCAAAACCAATTAGGCTCTAGAAAGTGCCAGTGGAATTGTTTAATTAGCTCTGGCTCTGACTCCAGCCTCCCCTCCTCACCTCCAGTTCTTAAAGCTTGGTGATAAAAGGGATCTCAGGGGCACATTTATACCGCTGGGTCCAAACAGTGAAACTTTACCAAGGTCTTCAACTAAGTCTTTCTAACTTACAGGATTAGAGCTTGAGACTGACTTTAGTTGACAGCAAGTGTGCAGACTCTTTCCCTGATCCCCTTGTTTTAGAATTCCATTTCCACAATATCTTGAGAGTTTCCCAGCTTTTTTCTAATGAGCCGTTTTAACATGCAGGGAAGCACAAATGAGATTGGTTTGCAGGCTTGTTGGACATACACAGAGAGCTTGCAGTTGACCTTGTGCTGACTCAAGCGAGGAGGAAGCGGCTGTGGCCAAGGAGGAACCTCTCCCTCCCTCAGTTCACACACAGGTTGTCAAGAGTGGGCATAGTGGGAGGGGCTGAGTGCAAGGCTTTGCCTACTGTTTGGTTATTTTTAGTTAACATATTAACATTTAGTTAAAAAAACAAAAACTACCTGTGTTAAAGGTAGAACTGAAAGTATAATTCCGATGCATTCTAACCAAGTTTTGCAATGAACAGGGGAAGAGAAAAATTCAAGTACTTTGTTCAAGTATAGGTTTTTTTCACATTGAACCTGTTAGTGAACCCACTGACCTTCTTTAAAGCTGTCTTCCAATTCAATGACAACTTTCCTTTTCAGAACAATTGCATGGGTATAAGAACAAATCATAGCAAATTTGCTTCTAAAATTTTCACTTATTTAACTTCGTTAGAGGGAAATAGTAAGACAGATATCCTTTCAAATGAATGTTTAGATAACTACATTATGGTTATAAATTGAGATAAGAACATTTAGAAAGATTGGGCCAATTTAGACCAATACAGATATTTGTATTACTATTGTTTTGTCTCTGAATGTGTTTCTCCACTTGGTCATCACTAAGTGATTCCTGCATCCTGGAGAAGTACTGTATTTGTTTGGAAAATGAGATCAAAACCAATGTGTCTTCACCCTTTCTCATTTTTCTTTATATATTTGATTATGGAAGTGAGAAGCTGAAAATGAGATATTATTTATTTGACTGAGCCAGTGGTATCCATTCTTGTCAGAAGATGAGCAGCGTTTTGCCTGTCCTTCTCGTGAACTACCACCATCACCTTGCAGTAACCACAGTGGGGAGGCGAGGGGTAGGGAGATTAGGGGAGGCCTGAGTGTCAGCATCCCAACACACTACCACATATAGACGCCTTTGTAGTAGTGAGGAGAGATGCGTTTGGGAACTAAACCAGATCCTGTGTTCTGTGGTTCTCAGACTAGAGATTTTAATCCTGGTTTCATCACTGACTTCTTCAGTTAGCCCACTGGAGCTGTCAAATCAGAATATAAATTTGCCATGGTAATTAGAATAAAAATGACTTGGCTTTAGAGAAGCAATCATGTTGAATGGTTTTTGGCAAATCTTAAAATACTTGATGTGTTTTATTAGATTCCTTTTTTTTTTTCCTGGTTAGAGAAGGTCTATTATTTTAGAAAATATAAGAAATTTCAAAGCAGGAAAACAGAAATTTCCTGAAATCCCATCACCTGGATATTCTGACAGTTTTAAATATATCTCATTTTTTTCTGTGCATATACATAATATTTTTCCCTACAAGTCTAATCTGTATGTACAATTTTATTTTCTCCATTTTTTACATTAATAATATAAGTTTTTATGCCATTTGAATCTTTTTCCAAATAATGGTTTTAATGATGATATAAAATTATATCACATGGATGTAGTATACTTGATTTAAGGATGTAGTATACTTGATTTAATTATATACCTATTATTGGTCATTTACTTTATTTTCGCATCCTTTTTTCCTCCTATAATGATGCATTGAACATTTCAGTACATTAACCTCCATGCATTTTTAATTATTTCCTTAAGAGTAATACTTGTATATGATATTAGAACCAAAAATGATAACAACATTTAGAAAGGTTGTGCCCATTTAGACTAATACACATATTTGTATTATCTTCTCTAAAATTTTTTTCCTTACTCTGTAGGTAAAAACCGTCATTCTTTTCTAATCTAAATTTCTTAAGTTATTTATGAGGTTGGATGTTTTGGGTATTTATGAGTCACTGTTAAATTTCTTTTATGAATTTTCTATTTGTGCTTTTTGCTCTTTTTTCTATATGGAATATTTGACTTTGTTGTTGCTTTGTAAAAACTCTTTATATATTAAAGTGTTAACACTTTGCTGCCATACTTTTTGTAAAATGCTTCCCCAGTGTGTCTTTAATCTTCTGATTTTTTACTTATTGTTTTCATTTATAGAAAAATATTGTTTTTATGAAGTCAGATTTAACCTAATCTTTAGCATATGATTCTCTTTGCTTTTTATTCTTATATAGGCTATTTTCACTGTAGAGAAAAAATTATTTACTGATACAAATGGTTTAAAAATATTAAATTGCTGGAACTTTTTAAAAGTAAGATACACTGGAACATAAAAATCTACTGTACATGTAATGAAAGCAGGTTTGTGTCCATCTTCACTCCTGAATCTCAGTCTCTAGCATCATCCCTGGCATATAGCAAACACCAATCAATATTTGTGGGAGGTAGTCATTTCTTTTTTTATCAGATGAAAGCAGTATTTACCAAGGTATGTTCCACAGAACATGGGTTCTGCAGGTGCTCCACAAGAAGGGGTTTCCTCGTATGGGATAAGTTTGGGAAATTCTGCAAACAGCATGCTGTCTTCATTGTTATCCACAGCACATCAGCATACAGAAGGCCTCGAGAAGTCATGACAGGAAAACTAGTTTTAGTTTTAGTTTTCCTGACCCATGAACTAGTTTTAAAATCAGTGGTTCCATACTTCTCTGTTTGTTTGTTTTAATCTTGAACCTCTTCCCCACACCCTCACCCCCATTATACAGTCTTAAACTCCCCTAAAACCAAGGTCATGCTGGACTACACTTGAGTTAGTACTGAGCTGCAGCCACATGGGCAGAGACAAAGACAAATGTAGTTCACTGGTCCTGTTGAAGGGATGAGTTTGAATATCTGTCTGATCTCCCTTCTATTTCTGTCTTTTCCCTTTGCCAGGGTTCTAGCCTGTTCTTCTAACCCCGTGATGGCTGTAGACATTGAGTGCAGGTACAGCTGCATGGCCCCCTCCTTGCGCAGAGAGCGGTTCACCTTCCAGATCTCACCAAAGCCGAGCAAACCTCTGAGGCCTTGTATACAGTTGGGCGGCAAGAATGAAGCCAGTGGGACGGTGGCCCCGACTGTTCAGGAGAAAAAGGTGAAGAAGCGAGTCTCCTTTGCAGACAACCAGGGGCTGGCCCTGACAATGGTCAAAGTGTTCTCCGAGTTCGATGACCCACTAGATATTCCGCTGAACATCACCGAGCTCCTGGACAACATCATGAGTCTGACGACAGTGGAGAGCGAGAGCTTTGTGCTGGATTTCTCCCAGCCATCTGCAGACTACCTGGACTTTAGAAATCGGCTTCAGACCGACCACGTCTGCCTGGAGAACTGTGTCCTGAAGGACAGAGCCATTGCTGGCACAGTAAAGGTGCAGAACCTTGCATTCGAGAAGATGGTGAAAATCAGAATGACGTTTGACACCTGGAAAAGCTTCACGGACTATCCCTGTGGGTACGTGAAGGACACGTATGCGGGCTCAGACAGGGACACGTTCTCCTTTGACATCAGTTTGCCTGAGAAAATTCAGTCTTATGAAAGGATGGAATTTGCTGTGTGCTATGAATGCAATGGGCAGACATACTGGGACAGCAACAAAGGCAAAAACTATAGGATCATCCGGGCAGAGTTAAAATCCACCCAGGGAACAGCCCAGCCACCAAATGGACCGGATTTTGGAATAGCCTTTGACCAGTTTGGAAGCCCTCGGTGTTCCTACGGTCTGTTTGCCGAGTGGCCTAGTTATTTAGGATATGAAAAGCTCGGGCCCTACTACTAGTGACAGTGTGGGATGGAACAGGCCTGTGGTGCAGACGAGCCAAGCTACAGTCACCACGGGATGGAGATGAAGGCCTCGAGAAAAGCTGAACTGCCATCAGACGTGGTTTTTGAAAAGAAAGGATCCTAGTCACTTTTTCTTCAATCAGTCAAGCCAGTCAGGTTTAGATCACAGAACTGGGTCCATACTAGGTGTGCTGGTCTGTCTGGCACCCACAGGGCAACAATGAGAGCCTGAGCAGGATGGTGCCGGAAAGGGTCTGGACCAGACCCAGGCCTGTAGGCAGCGCTGGTGACACCAGAGGACAGTGGCTTAATAATGAGGTTGCCTGAAGGAGCCTTTCTCTTCTGGGGTCTGGGAAGTGAGTCACCTGGAAAGCCCTGTTCCCAGCCACATCCCACTGGGTCTGGGCTCTCTTCTTCAGGTCTTCCTGGCTCAGCCAGGTCCTGCCTGCCTGTTGCTGCTGTTCCGTGTCTATGTGTGCTTCATACTTTTTCTCTGTGCAATTTTTGATTTGGTTTTCTTCCACAGTTCATCTAATGTTCAGGAAAAGATAATAAAGGCAAATCAGCTCATGATGGAGACTGGCATTTCCTCTTCCTGATGCTACATAGATACCCCAGCAGAGGACAAGACACCAGTTATCGAAAGTAACTGGCTCCTATGCAGTGTTTCTGATGGCAGGCTTATGCCAGGCAGAACAGTCATGAGTGGGACACTTTTAACTTCTCCTCTTGGCTTTGGGGGAACTTTCTAAGCACTCATTCTTTGCCTGAGTCACCTGACTGCTCGACGGACGGCTCAGTTACAAGACATGTTGTAACTTGCCTGGCTGGTTTGCCCATGTCTATCTTCACGAAAAGATTTTAGAATCTCTTTTCCTGGAGAGTCATCTTTTATGCTGTATTTGGGACGTTTTGATTTACAGAGTCAATATATCCTCAATGCCTTCAGAAAATGTTCAGTTGTATTTTGACTGTGATTTACATCCACTTTGTAAACAACACTTTACAAGCCCCAATGGACTCTGATTTGGTTGTTTTTATTTATGGTGTGTGGGTATGTAAAGGAATAGGGGAGAAAAACCTCACCAGGTTCTCAGATTTTATTTTCACTGTTTGCCAGTTCTGAAATATCAGAGATTAATTGTTCTTAACCGTATTGGACTAAAGCATTAAAAAAGTCTGTGGGTTCATGTTATTGTGAGACTCCTGGGGCTTTCCTTGTCAGATGGATCCCAAATCCTGTGATTTTTCTTGGACAAGACTGGTTGGTACTTGGGGGTATTTAAAAAATATTTTTACATGTATATTTGTAGAAGGTTGGGGGTTTTTTCCCTCTTTTGTTTTGGTTTTTGGAGCTTAGTTAAACGACTGCCTCATTTTTCTCTTGTCTGATCTTACTAGGGTGAGGTTTTCCACGGGGAGGCAGGAAGAGGAATACCCAGCTGCCTGGATTCGGGGGCACAACTCCTGGACTCTGCAAGCAAAGGGTCTTCTTTTGCTTGCATTATCCAGATCATTTGGAAGAGCCCTCCCGGCTTCTGTGGCTTTGTAAATCAGTGTCAAGCAGATCTGGAGTGTCTTGGTTCCTAGAGTTTTGTCGCTGGATTGTTTTCTTTTTTGAACTGTAAAATGTTTTGACTTTTTAAATGCTCTGCAGTGGTGTTCCATGGAGTTCTTATTCCTAAAACTGGCTGTGACTAGACTGCAATTTAGTGCTTTATTTTGTATGCCTCTCCCAGGTGGGCAGCACTGGGGGATTACAGAATAATATAATTTATGGGACAATCACATTTTTTATCTTATGCTGACACTGCACAGAACTAGGTTTTATCTAAGTATGTCTTACATCAAGTACACAGTACTCTCCATGTTACAAATCTGATGACCAGAGCTATTATGTAATAGTGAAATCTACATTGCTTGGAAGCAAAACTGATTTTATACAGGTCATGATTTTGCTTTAAGAAGTCCCTTCCTCGCCCCTGCAATTTATGTAAGGTACAAGGTGCACTGTCATTTACGTGTTACCAGACTAAAGGTAATGAGATCATTCTATGTTCATAAGAAACATGCCTCAAGTAACTTCTGTAGGGTTTTCAATAATCTTAAGACATTCCCGTGTCAAAAGTTGAAATACGGTAATTCAGTGATAAGTATCTCTTTTAAAACAGCCACAAACCCTCCCCCTACTACCTTTCTCTCCTCCCAGCTCACCCCAGCTTTTCTGCTGGGGGCACTGGTTGCAAGCCCCCAGCCTGTGCACCTGGGCTGCTCACCCCAGCAGGCAAGTCCTCACCCGCTCACAAAGACCCTTCTCTGACTAAAGCATCTGCTTGCCCGGATTGTCAGCCTTGTCGCCGCCTCTGAAGAATACTGTCTTCTCTTTACCCATCAGCCTGTCTCCTTTTGGGTTAGTTCTGTCCCAGGATATCAACAGATGGCCTCCGGGGTCTGCTCCAGTGGACCCTGTCCCTGTTTCATAGCTCACCAACAGGAGACAGGTCTATACACTTCAGAAAGTGATGAGTTCCTTAGTTGGAGACATCACTGCAGCCTGACCTGTAGGTATAACCCTCAGACGGCTCTTGGTTATGCTGACCAATGGCCCGCGGTCCTGGTGTCCTTCCCAACTTGCCCCAGACAGACCAGCCTTCTGCCACTCGTGCAGTTGTCCAGGAATGGGGAGGCAGCTCCATTTTTGTTTCATATTTATTCCCCCATATGTCCTGGGAAGCATTCACAAATTAGGTGCAATAAATAAGCTAGACTATATAAAGATAGTTTTTTTTAAAAAATTAGCTTTCATTGTTTCTTGGAAGATGTGAAGTGTTTGGGCAGGTTTGTTTGTTTATTCTTGTTATAGGGGAGTTGGTGAGAAATAATGGAGTTACGTAGTTCTCCAGAAATTAAAACAATTTCAGAGTCAAGGTAGAGTTTATTATATTGCTAAGATTTAATTTTAACGGTGGTAAAACACTCTCTCAATGTTTTTAAAGATGGAAATTTTGAACTGCTAAAATAATGTTTTGTGGTTTTGATCTTGGCATATCATTTGCTTTTTTAAAAACAAGCATTACTTGTAGTCACTTGGACATTAAAGGACTTATGTGTATATATGTTTATAAACCAAAAAAGTGTTTGCTCACTTTTCAGAAGTGCTGTTTGCTAGGTCTTCCCTCTCAGTGGACAGTGAATGAAAACTTCAGTGTCTTTCCTGTTTCCTCACGTCAAATTCCTCAGCAGGATGTAGCTGGCTGCAGAGTATGCATCATGGCATTTTGCTCTGGGAGGGCTTGATGTCCTTGTCCCTCCTGAAATGATCACTGACACTGGGGAGAAGTTACACATATAATGGGGTCTCCCAGGGTCGTCGGAAGACAGTTTGTCAGCTTATCTTTACTTCCTGAAGTGAGACAGGTCTGGGACAGGGAAGGAGAGCTGTGCTGACGCACAGCTTTCCCTTGTTAGGGTTGTAAAGTGCTGCAGCCCAGGTTGTAAAGCTATGAGTGTAAATACAGTCTTGTCGATCAGCTCCCAGGGTCAGCTGGATCCGTGAAGACTCCCAGGATAAGGCTGTGGTGGTGGCAGTTTGCTCTCACTTTAGTGTGAACGTAGAACCAAAGACTCATCTTCATTTTCGTGCCTAAAAGTGCCTTGTTGAGAAATTATCACAGGCTTTAAAAAATACATATTTTTGTACACAAAGTTAAAGGGGAAATGCACTTTAAAGTCACCAGAATGGATGTCTTTTGTGTGGTATAAGAGAGTGGTTTGTATCTCAAAAGCAAAAATGTAATAAAGATAGAAAAAACAAAACTGAAACTGTCCTATTTTAAAACTGACTCTCTTCTTCGAGTCAGGGACTGGGGAGAGATTTTCAATCAGTGTGTTTCCATATATAGAACGTCGGATTCCAAAGGGGTAGGACACAATTAATGGCTGAGCTGAAAAGCTGTAAGGTACAGAGGAAGGCGGGCAATTGCCTTTTAAGATGTTACGGCAGAAGAGGCTGATTACAGCTAAGAAAGTGATTGCCAGGGAAGGAGCACAAGGGCGGGTGTTCTGAATCTGAGTGATCCCGGGGCAGGTCTCTTCCTACCTTCTCACTTGCTCTTGAAGCATATTTTTGGTTTAGTGCATGCAAAAGTGGGAAAACATAAACTTCTATCACAGCTTTTAACTGCTTGATCAGACAAACCCTCTAAACAGCAAAACCACCCGGCTCCTGGTGGGACCCCCCCAGTACTGGGTCTGGGACATTCACCCTCAGTAAGATTTCAGAAATGTTTCATTTCAAAGTTAGAAAGATAGGATGTAAGATGGTGGGGAACTGCTGCCAGATGTTTCCTGCCAATCAGGCTCGGCCACGCAGGGAAAGGCAGTGGTGGTTTTGCAGTGGAAAGTCAGAGTGTATTAAATCTTGGCACCTGGTAAATAAATGCCAAAAGTGAGCTACATACATAATCACCTTTCTCAGATCTGGCAAACACTGCCCACATTCTGCCTTTGCAGAAATGGGAGGGGGGAAAATAACACTGGTTTTTGTGAATGTCTAGTTGAGATTCAGTGTGGTTTTCATAATCATGACATAATTCTAACTTGTGAGACAGACATCCCAGAGATGTCTGGAGTAAAAAGGAAAAAAACCCCCAAAAAACAAAAAAACTTTTCCAGAGCAATGTCCCCAGAATAGCGAATAGCCAGCTCTCTGAATAATGCAGCGGAACATTTACTTCTCATGTGCAAGGCTGTTTCTAGGTGCTATTTCTACCCAGCCCTCTAAGAGACATTCAGGTTTTGGGTGGGTCCTCTGGTAGCCATGGAAAGCAGTGGATGGTGCTACCAGCATATCAGGAGTCGGGAAGCCTGGGTTCTGGCCTGGACTCTGCTGTCCCCTGTCAACTGCTCTACCAATGAGGCTCTGAGTGTTTTTAGCAGGAATAAGGTAGCCAGGAACTCTAGCAGTGCCCTGAGTACTTCTCAGAGTTGGCCAACATGTTCATTTTTAAAATGTTTCTAAGTTTAAACTTGTAAGAAGTACCATGTACACTATTTGCATTCTTCATATGGATCACAGAAATGAAGACCATTCCAGACAACAGCTTGGACTTCACAAAACCATCAGTGTTCATGCTGGAAGGGATATCAGGGAGCTCTTTTTATGGGTAAAGAGGTAAAGGCCCTCAGTGTGTTCCCTAAAGTCACACAGCCAGTCAGTGACAAAACTGGGACGTGGACCTTGGGCGGGTCTTTTTTCCTTTTTCCAAGAACTGTTCCCCAGAACTGGGAGTCTCTCTCACTAAAATAGTGATTCTGAAAAGAAGGCCCTCATGCTGGAGAGATGCAATCTCCAGGGGAGGGGTGAAAACACACATTCTTATACACAAAAGGCACACATAAGGACTGCCGACCATGTGGAAGCATAGAGGTCAACACTGAATGATCTGTGTATCCTGGAGCCCAAATGAACAGCGGGGTCTGATTGAGAGTAGGAAACCACCAAAGGGCCCCATTGCTACCCAAACATTCCAGGAGGAAAGCAGGCTTCAGGACCTCAGCACTGCCTCTCACCTGCAGCACAGGATACTCTAACCCTCGCTCCTCTCCCTTCGCCACTATCAACCCTTGGAGAGGAGATGGGGAATCTCGACAGAGGTCTTTGTCCACATGGGGTTCTCTGGTAGGTGACACGTTTCATTTCCTTCTACAGGCACCAATGCACTTCCCCAGTTATCAGGCCCTCTGCTGGACTTGAGTTTGGCAAAGGTAGGATAAGGAAAAATAATACTCACTTTTCTGGGAAGCGAAAGACAATAGTGATCCTTGACTGTGGCCCTCTCCCCAGAAAGGCAAGATCAAGTGGCCAAATCAATGGTCAGCAGCCTTTTTCTGAAAAGGGCCAGAGAGTAAATATTTTAGGCTGTGCAGATCATATTCAGTCTATGTCACATATTCTCCTTTAAAAAATTGTTTTTAATGCAAAAACCATCCTCAGCTGTGGACATACACAAACAAGCAAACAGCTGTAGTTTATTGACCCTGGTTGAAGAGTCACATAGGAAGAGTGAGATTCCAGAGCCGACTTGCAGACCCTCAGCTGAGGCCTGGAGGCAAAATTTTAGTCCATTTGTTTAAAGACCATATAATTTATGGTCCAAACTGGGATGCTCTGAATGACCCTGGAGCACTTGTGTAAACCCTACTGTGTGCGCCCTGTTGGAGCTCACCTACCCTGGCCTTTGGGATCTCCTTAGATCCTTAGGGAGCTCAGAAAGCCCAGACCAGTTATGCGCCAGAATCAGTTCTGGCTGGATAATGCTTTTCTTGGGATGGGTTATAACGGAGTAGTGATTTCGTCTGTGGTTTAGATGTGTTTTTGTTGGTTAGGTTTTCTGTTTCCTAATTGTAGTGCTGATGGCCAAAAGCTCTCTGGAAACTCCAGCCAATTCACTCTTAAGGGTAGAGAATTTAGAAGGAAAGGGGTTATTAATGGCTTGGGCTTATGTTCTACTATCTCTCCACTGCCACTCCTGTCCCCAAAAATAAGGCATGGCCAAGTTCCCCAAGAAAGTTGTTCATTGTGGACAGAGACGCAGGCTGAACCTAACAGTATTCCAAGCCCCAATCCCCAGAAAGTACCACTGAAGTGCTTGCTCCCAGGAATTTTGCAAACTACAGGCTCTCGGTTCATCTTTCTCTGGCCCAGCCTTAAGCACCACAGGAAACTAAGGAGGTAAAATTTTATCTCCAAAATGCTGCCGGCCTTGGCCCTGGAGTTCCACTCTCCCTTCCCAATGGCCATCTTTGCAATGTGAACACACATGTTCTTCATTTTAAGTTTCGTCACCTCCTACGGCTGGCATTTACCATTACCCAGTGCTGGAGGAGGGGCAGCAATGCAGAGAGGACCCCAATGTTAGTGCTGCAGGGACATGGAAAGTTTTTTATGAAGCCCCAATACATCCGAGGGGAACTCTCCACCATCAAAGGTGGGTTAAGCTTTCCAGGTTTCACCCTTCTTTCAGAGAACGTGGAAACACCACGCATCACAAACTGCACCGCAGAAAGAAAAATGGCTCCCTACTTCTGCTGGGCTCACTCCCAGGGCCACCTAGGTAACTGCCCTTTGGTGGACATCTTGGTCCCATTTGAGTGTGGAATTAGCCAGGGGGCATTTTGCTGATCTTATTAGCACACCATTTTATTAAAACTTATTTTATTATTAATTATTCATCATTAATCAATTACCTATTGAAACAAACACTGAACTATCCCCCAAATAGTTTCATAATTCTTTTTTGCACAATGCTTTGCACATTTCCCTATGCAATAAGTGTTTGTTCATTTGAATTCTCCAGTCCCCAGTTGCTTTGCTCATCAACTGATCAATGACCTCACCACCTTGGGTCCTCATGTCTTATATCACTCATGTATTACTATCACTACAGCACACACACATACACACACACCCCACTGAAAAGAAAATTAAAAAGCATTTTCTCTGCAAATTTTTTCCCCTTTGAAATGGGGAGTTTCTGCTCCAGAGCTTCTGCAGGCATGTGTGCTCTGTCACAACTGGAGCAAAGGCAACACTGAACGAGCAACACTGTTGGCAGTGGCTGCAGCAGGGGACAAAGAGTGACATAAGGCACTGGTTCTATGCCACGCAGACCCTCACTCCTATCTGCTCAGCCTCTGCACTATCTCCCCAGACGGGGGAATTCAGAGACACTGGGTCTCTAACTGCAACTTTAGCCCTGTGGAGCAGCCAACCCAGACAGGAGCCACTGGTGGTTTTCAAATATGTTATGAAGCATTGGAATATGTTCTTAAACCAAATCTTACAAGAACTCAATTTGCAAAATAGATAGAGAGGGAACTACCCCAGGTGGAAGTTGCAGGAAGTAGGGAACCCATGTCCCCCTCCTCAGACCCCTGAGATACTTCCTAAGACCGTGGGCTCCAAAAATAGAGGTGAGAACCTTTCCCTTGAAGCACAGAAGTTACACTCCTGTTTCCTATGCTAGTGAATGTAGGTCAAGGATATCCTGTAAAATAAAACAAAAGCAAGCTAACAAACAAAACAATTTTTCTGTTATAAGAGGAAAACAGTTTAACCCCATATTATGCAAAAGGACTCTGGTTGTGTTTTGGTTATGTTATCATGGATAATGATCATCTTTCACAAAACAAATTGGTTTGTTCACACAGAACCACATTTGAGTTTCTTATTATGCTATGTATGTGTCTTACATATGAAAACTAAACTGCTTGATAGGCAACTTCTACTCCATACTAACAATGATACATAAAACAAAATTACTGAGCACTTCTGTGGGTAAGGTCATGATTGGGGCCAAGTACTCCGGGGAATGTAGAAAGAAAAAGACATATCACTGTCACCCAGCTAATTATAATGTCTCCAATGGTTATTTTAGTTCTTTCTTCCCCCAAACTGTACATTTTAAAACTCCATTTACTTGTATCAAACTAAGCCCAGACAGAGAAGCCTGTTTCTTTATTTTACATTAAAATTATTTCGAGATAACTGTAGATTCACATGCAATTTCAAGAAATAATAGTGTCCATATAGTTGCTTGCTGAGATTCCCTTAGTGGTAACATCTGGCAAAACTATAATACAATGAATGTCACAGTCAGGATGCTGACCTCAAGACAGAATGTTTCTACCACCACAAGATCTCTCATGTCCTTTTATAGGCACACTGCCTCCCTCGCTCTACTCTGCCTCTGCCTCCACGCTCCCACCCAGGTCCTTGACCCTGGCAACCACTCCTCTGTTCTCCCTCTCTATAA